GTGCAGTGCAGCGCTAAATTCCGATGTTGATGAGCTCCTAATTTCGGATGCGCTGCGTATTTCACTTTCATTCAGAATCGTAGTGGAACTTTAGTTAGGTTCGGTTCACACAGCGCCTTACGAGAACCAGTCAACGTATTCCATCCTTCAGGGGACTTTGGTGTTGGTTATCAGAGATAGATCACAGAGTAAGAGGTTGGTGAGGAACGTGGCGAATCCGAGATTTGACTCACCGACCATGGGCATGGTAAACGACACCGCTCCTCCTCCAGATCCACTAGTCGCACTTATACCCTCATTACGAATCATAATCTCGAATCCTAGCTCTCAATACAGACTCACTTCCAATAATCCCTATAGTTCGCTAGGCATGGTGAAACATATCGAGTTAAGAAGAAGCAGCTGCAGGTGGCGTGTCTAGTGCATATGATCGGGAGAGGACGATTTCCGGGTCAGAGGCCAGCCGGGACAATCAAGCCACGAATCGAGCTTTCACTACACCTAGGGATTGATGATATCTGAAATTCTTGCGGTACGGGAGGAGAGGAAGACGGCAGCCACTAACTAAGCAGTCAATCGCGAGAATACGATCAAAGGCAGGCTTCCTGGTAAACCATCGGAAAGACTGTAAATAGCGAGGTTGAAAAACAATAGTCATCTGCTAACCGACTAGCCCATGAAAAAAAGCAAAAGAAAGTGTCGCGAGCACCACAATGAAGATATTCCTTTCTCCAAACAAGAGGCGACGAGTTATTACAGTGAGGCCAGGTAAGGGCAACAAGAGTGTATGCAAACGAGCCTGTCGTCAGATACCACTGGTGCTGGCGCTTTGGCTGAATTACTTGAGCACCTTGCTTCAACACCTTCACCTCATAGCCATCTGACGCTAAACTCGTACAAGTCTCTCCACTGCGCTACATTCGCCCCACGGGACTGCGCTCATTCTTATTAGTAACAGTGTAGCGTGCACATTCAGAACTTATTTTTTCCAGAGCTCTCGATATGATACTAACAGGACGGGCTGTTACGTCTGACGAAGCTCTCCAATGGGGACTGGTGACGAAAGTTGTGGATGATGGCGAAGGTGAACTTTGCAAAGTTCATATTCTTGAAAGCAACGTTGAAAGGGCAAATACTACAAAAATGCTGGGAGTGAGTTATGGGCCGAAGAAACTACCTCAGCCAGGACTTGAACCCGCCCTTCATGCTTATTGGTCGTTGTGTACGTGCTGTCCGGGCTATGCGCGACCATTTTGCACCCTGTCAGCTTAACGGTTCCTATGCCATGGCTGTAGATAACTTTCGAACCGCAAGTATAGCTCCCCTCAACAAGACAGGATTGACTTTTGGCTTAGAATGCAATGTTGAACGTGATTTTCTTCAACCTTCCTTGACCTTGGGTCAAATAAACCTTTTTTGGGACAAACTCACACTCACGACCCTATCGCTTGCCATCGGGGCAGAGAGGCGATGCAGTTTGATTGCGATCTCCTCTTCTGAAGGGTTGTATTTCGTTCACTTCATCACTACGAGTGAGCTCAGGCTACGATGGAACTCATCTTCATCTGCAATCATGGGAAAGTAGGGGGGGGGGTAGTTTTGAGGTTATCTAGTTTTGTAGAGATGGGGACAATTAAAGCGTTGGGAGCGTTTCAGATAGCTGCGAAGCATTCCATCCAAAGCTATTTACGAATGTTCTATTTCAGCCTTAAATTCTGCAACTCAGTTAGCGAAGCAATCCATAAGTAGTCCATATAGCTGCATGCTTGCCGATCGACGTTCAGCGTTGGAGTCATTCGACTTACCCACTGATGAGGCGCTTGCTTTTGAATTCAACAGCTGCTCAGTGATTCCTGAAGCAATCGTAGGTTGGAATAACACGATTGGTTCATCTCTTGTTGCAAAACCTTCTGAGAAACTCGTTAAGGTGCAAGAAAGTTTCTGCTCGATAACCAAAAGAAGAAGTCGAAGATCTGAACAAGTTATCGTAAGGCTATCAGCATGACACTTTCTGAATAACTTGATTCGTATCTCTATCTACTGATATAAAGCTGTCACAGAACGATCAGCCCGCATCGCCTGCTTTTTACACTATGACCTAGTCCTCAACAAGCAAGAAAGCAAGAAGGTGGGAAATGGCTTTGTTATCTACTCTTGAGTCAAAATTGCTCCAAACGCCTCAAAGGCAGAATGAGGGTAGTTCAGGGCAACCGAGACGCAGCATTGCGCTTAGGCTAGTAGCGAGTACTTCTTATCCACTATCAAAAACTACATTAAAATGTGATAAAGTAGAAAACAGGAGCTCACTATCAGATAAATATGAGAAACAAAGAGAAGAGGATGATATAGAAAGAAAAAACATAAAAGCTGGAGTTCGGTACAACTGTAGCGCTACAGCTGTAGCGCCAACCACCAGTCTGAGCAGCTGCTTTAGGAGTCAATCTATGGCCCAGTGATGAATGCTCTTCGAGCGCACGGCGCTATCCCTCCCCTTTTATAGATCGCAAATCAAACTCAAAGGAATCAAGGATTCAAATCGGTGTATAAGGTCGCTTCATCTGCTTCTACTACCTGTCTCATCACCTCTTTCTAGGTCTAAGTACACAGCCTCAACGAAGTCCAGCGAAGGCAACGTCTGGAGTGCTGCCAGAATCTCCTGCCGAAGCTCAGGGAGGAACTTGTGAAGAGGATCGTGGCCAGCAACGAGAAGCTCTTCATGGTCTTCCCCCCAAAGAAAAGCAAGAACATCCGCATGTGGACCACCTTCAAGAAGAAGGAGTTCCGTTTCGGTGCTATGCAGGCCAATTTCCTGTAATGGGAAAACCGATTTTGTTCTTGCGGACTGAAAATGAATGCTGGCTGTTACATCAAACAGCTCGAGGAGGATATCCTGCCTTCATGTCGTGGCCTGCATCGTCGTGCAAACTTTGTGCTACCAGTACATGGCGCGCCCAATTCGAAAAAACTCGAAAACTCTCGTCGCCTACTTGGAATCGAAGGGCGTTGAGTTCCTGAAAAAGTGGAATATCCAAGTGTGTCACATGAGAACCTCCTCGATTACCGGATCCGGGAGGAGCTCAACGAGGTGGGCTACAGTGGCGGAGAAATCCAACGCCTCGCTGAACCAGGCACTGAATTACGGTCGCGTGGCAGAGTATATCGATGGCGTTCCAGAAAGTTGTGGCGGAGTTTCCTGATCGTGCGCAATGTGTTGTTGAATTTGTCGGTGGAAATATCCAATTGAAATTGTTTAAGTGTGATTCACAGATATCGTTTCTGAAGAGAAGGGTTTCTCCCCCCCCCCCCCCCCTCTGTGTCGATTGTTTCGCATCCTTTTTCCACTATTAGATCAGACAGCGGGCTCTAAATATCTCCATGCCCGAAACTAGACCCCTACAGCGGCCCAAAATCTCGCGAAGTGTCTTTAAGCTTTGAAGCCCTAATTGTATGCGCATACATCTTGTGAATTCTTACATCATCAGAGGATTAAATGAAAACGAATTTTTGAAGCCATACTAATCCTGAAATGAAAATAGTCTGCAAGGCATTTCGATATACCTCGCGATCCTGAAGCGGGATGAAATCTCTAATTGTCTTCCAACTGATTAGTGCTCCACTATTACTCGCATCTCAAAACGTCAGCAGTTCCGTGAAACAAGTAAGACTTTCACAGTTGTACTTTGCAACATTCGCAGCTGAATGACGTTCATCGGTCCTATGAAAACAACATTTTCCTCAGACGATGCAAATTATTCGGTCACCCTGCTTGGGATAATGGTGCAGAATAGAAAGCATATCCAAGAAACTTTAGCACAATAAGTGAAACCTTCAACTTCGAAGGAGTCCTAGGCTTGCCGCCTGCCCCCGCCCCCGCGCTCCCCATTTTCCTTAACCCACGATGCATCTCTGAGATGTGGTAGGCGTGACTGCGTACTTCAACTCAGCGTGACGGTGACTGTGCTTTTGCTGGAATATTTTTCATTTTGAGACAATCATGGTCATGCTTCTGTCCAACACTGAATAAGATGACGCTCGTTCCAAGTTGAATTATCTCACGAGTAACCCACCCTATGTCGTGTCCAAATGTCACGCCTACTCCTTATCGGGGATAGGGAGTGTACCCGGTATATAAGTGCGCTAAATCTAGAGAACTGTTGTAACCCTTTCCCCGAAATAAGGAAAGGATAGAGAAAAAAGTCTGGCAATGAGCGGCCATTTTGAACTCGCTTTCTTCGGACATGCGTCTATTGGGATGTATTTCCCAATCGTGAAAAGTGGAGATGAAGACAAAAAATCGGCCTAGTTGATTTCTCAAGAATGCGCCACGTCCTCGACATTGGAGAAGGAGTACTTATATGGTCCAAGCTGTGACTAGCTGCTCTCAACACGGTGATTTTAATGGGGGAAAACGTTTAGCCCTTATGAGCTCCATCAGAAGTCTTACACGTTGGGCCAGCGCCTCTTGCTTCACTAATTCCCACCTCTCAAATGCGGTCTACGGACAATCCTAGCTTAATCCCACTAAACGTCGATCTGCTGTTTTCTATGCACTCTTTCTCATCGGTATACCATTTTATGGTCATTGAGACCTCACATATCCCGGCTTTTTACAATTTGTGAGCAGCTCAAAATCCCCCCTCCCTGAAAAACGCTTTGTCCTGGATCGCCGGTTTCTTGCACATTTCGATGTTATGGCAGTAACTGTTCTCAATCTGCCTGTCGTATGGTAAAAGATATGGCGGAGGCAGAGATAGCTTCACTTAGTCTATTATGTCCTTATTGTTGAGTAAGCGAAGGCCGTGGTGGAGTTGAGGTAAGGCGCTTCGTTGCTAAGGGTATTGCTCTGTTTGGTGTTCATCAGAGAAGATGCAACTGGCCGAGGAGAGTAACATCGTTAAGCATGATAAGTTATCGATTTGCTTATAAGCTTTGACAAAGGCAAGTCAGCCGAAACGTCGGCCAGATAAAAGCTTCTCCACCATAACAACACAAAAAATACACAAAAAAACAAGGCAACATCGGATACCTATTATATTTGCTCCATACGATCAGCGTTTACTGCGCCTTGCAACGTAAGAGTGTGAATATAAATGCGAATTCACAATAAGTCTCATAACATATGTGAGCCTAAACTGAAATTGCTTGCAGGTTGTGGTTGGTATTGCTGCAGCTGAATATGTAATGCCCACGAGTATAGGATGGTCTGTATGTGGTGGAGCCATAGGAATGGCTCTTGACAAGATCAAAGGAGGACTATGATCTTGGCGACTTCAATTTCAGGTAGTTACCGTTAACGTTGTGTCGGTGGTAAGTTTCTAGTTGCTGGAACCTTTTATTTACGCAACTATGGTTGGTGTGATCAGGTTACTCACTCACGCCTTGTGGGCGCTGCTTCATTTGAAGGGAGGGGGAGAAGTCTGCAGTTGGTCAACCTTACCGCGCAGTATAATTTTCAAGTGAGAAGGTTAGGCTTCAGGGCGGTTTGATCATTTCAGCAGTGCTCTTTCCGGCTTTCTCTTATAATGAATCTCAGATTCGGGGTAACCCCATTCTCTCGGATATTTCCCTGATTCGAAGGTGGAAGTGGGGAGAAGTTGTGCACTTGTTCAGTTTCACTGTGGAATATAATTTTCACCAGAGAAGTGCAGGCATCAGGGGAGGGGCATCAGCAAGCAGTGCTGAAATGGTGCGCCATTCAGCTTTGCTTGCTTATTCCGGCCTTCACTTTCAATAACTGACTTATACTGAGTGGTACACAAACAAGATTTGCCTGGTTCGCCAGACAACCTCATCCCAGTGTAAATTGCAGACTACCGTAACCCAAGGAGAAATTTTAGATTTGATCAAACCCACCCGCAGCGTGTTTCACTTACACTCCATAACTCGGATATGAGGGAGAACGCGGATTCGCGCTTCATACTAACATAACATAAGATGCTTTTTTCGTAGAATACTTTCATTTGGAATCTCATCATCTTGGGTTCTGCTTGACAATGGCATAGTTACAATAGTTCCAAAATGGTCATATCCCACCAGTAACGCAACCGCCGCCACGCCCAAACTCAAGCCACGCCCTCTCATCATCGGGATATGATAGCAAGTTAAAAATGAATCAGTGCGAACCATTTCGCAACACAACGAAAATCTATATTTCGTCATTTTGCAGTTTCCTTGTGCAATACACCGAATGCGATCCGTCAAAGACAGTTGGAGTTGGGAATCGACTTCATGATGAGACAGAAGGTTGATGTCGTCATTGGACCGCCTTGCCCAGATGGTAGACACAGTTGGCTTGCTTAGA